ACGCTTTATTGTCATTATAATTGACGTTTGAAACTAAAATTTGAAAGTTTTAGTTGAAATTTATTTTTGGCGTCGATTTTCCGAAACAATAATGCCAGCAGTACGTGTTTTTATAAATTATTTTGATTTGTTGTAATTTTTTCTCTCGCTCTCAGGATAACAATTACAAAAACCGTAAGTGAGGTTAGTTGCCTAAGGCCCGTTTTACATTTTTATGTCAGTCGAATGACAAATCGTCCAAAAGTCCGTGTCCGCCAGTGTATTAGAATCGGATTTTTTAACCAACACTACAAATAGTAGATTACAGACGGAGGTGGAAGTTTCTTCATTAACAAGGCAATAAGCCTAGTTTCGATGGAGCAACGACCATACTATTTTATTCGGAATCATTCAGAACAGAAAGCCAATAAAAATAATAATAAAGATTTTATCATATTTTGAAAGATATAGCATACGACAGTCCAGGTTGGGAAGTGACCATTTCCCGATCTGAACTGTCATATTACTTATTAACTGATACGGAAATGACTACTTCCCAACCTGAACCTGCTATTTTATATCAATTGTTAAAGGAAGTTGAAATGTCAAACTTTCCAACTTTTTACATGCAAGATAATTTGATTATTATTTTATGATTGTGAATAAAATACATTTCTGTTCTAAATCCTAAATTATTGTTGGAAGGTGCCATTTGTTGGCAAATAGTCCAGATTTTTCATTTTTTAACACTTTTTCCTGTCCGAATTAGAATTGCAAAAAACTTTGTTTTAAAAATAATGGTTTGGGACAGTCACGACTGTACTGTATTGTTTTTCCTCGATTTTTCCACACTGTTTATTATTATTATTGGCCATTATTTAAATATTGTTTATTATTTGCTTTCGTAACGATAATAAAATGCTTTTTTTAATGTTGGAAAAAATAATACACCAAGTTTTATGATTAAAAACGTATTGGAAAATTGAATTGAAAAACACATTAATTTGATTTTTATATGTAACGGCAAAATTATGGAATAATCTTATTTATTAAAACTGAAAATATTTTGTTTTGGCAAAAATGCTCAATTTTCTTTTTAAAAAATACAACATTCTCAACTTGATTAAAATTGTATGTTTGTTTTTCTTATTATTTCACTTTTTGGATGTTTTTTTTTTTTAAACTATGTAATATTTTTTATTTTGGTGTTGTCATTCGACATTTAAAAGATCTATCGAATTGAAATCAAGTTGAAAATTGTGTATTTTTTGAAAAGAAAATTGACCTCTTCAAACATTTTTGCCAAAACAAAATATTAACCCATAATTTTGCCGCTCACTGTATGCAATCGTACAAAAATAAAAACACGCACATTTAAATTAAATTTTTTGCGGACGAAATGAGACCGAGAATTTTTCTTTGGGTGTCGAATGTGCACCAGTCGGAATTGGAGGCACTGTTGCGTGCAATGCAGTGTCGCGTTAGAAAGAGACGTCGTGAGCGTCGCGACGTCATAAGACAGAGCAAGTGCATAAGATTTCTCAACGACAGGAAAAAGGACGGCTTTAGGGGTCATTATGTACAAGTGTCACCGAGGGACAGATTCCGTAGTACAATAATTGTGTTTCTCCCGCCCCAGAACGGAATGAATTAAACATATCGAACGTAGGAAACCACTGACGTATAGAACGAGTGTATAAGGTCACAAATCGTCGGCGATGCTCCACCATCCCGACGTTCTTTTATTAATTTTAACCAAATATTGCCAGAGCAGCTGTTTTTTACTGGCCGCACATTTAAGAACTCGCTTTCTTCTTCTCTATCTTTCTCCAAGCATCGATTAATCGATTAATCTCTTTAGGTAAGATGAAATGGAGTGTGGAGTCCAGAGCGCAATGATCAGCGTGCCACCTGGTGGCGATTCCGTTCCTCAAAGTCTAGCGACGTCGGTTTTTCCCCCGCCAGATTCCGACCAAGCACAGTTTGAAGCCGACAAAAGGGCCGTTTATAAGTAATATCTACCTTTACGACTAAACTAAACCAATTTTTTTTAACTTTTTTATTTTTCACACAGACATCCTTTATTCCCACTTTTGGCGTTGTTATTCGAAAGATGCGAATTGGCAACACAATCTTCGGATCCTCAGTCCAGCGATGCCTTCAATTTGGACATTCAAGCATTTGTACAACATCAAGAACGCGACCGCAAACCCTTTTTAGCAAACGAACCCGAAATTGACGGATTGGTATATAATAAACCACAATTGTTTTCTTTTTGCAAATTTGATTTTTTAACAGATGATTAAAGCCATACAAGTATTACGGATACATTTATTGGAGTTGGAAAAGGTCCAAGAGTTGTGTAAGGATTTCTGTAATCGGTACATCACCTGTTTAAAAGGAAAAATGCAGTCGGAGAATCTTTTACGCTCGGATTACCCTCAAGGTGAGAGATGATGAACGTTGTATTTTAGCTAGGAATTAGACGTTTTAGGAGCTGCAGGATTAATGAATAACCTTGAAAATAACAATAATAACAGCATGATGTCGCACGGAAATTCGGAAAGTGGATCGGCCTCCAACAGTCCGGTGCAATACTCCATCAGTCCGCCCCAACCGGTAAGAAATTTAAATCACGCGCCAAAAGTGGGGTTAGGGTTTTTCATCGCACGTGTTGGTCACACTGACTGCAAGTTCTAGTCACATGTGCAATGTTGCCAGAAGGTGATCTTTATACTAGTTTAATGATTTGGTGAAAACTTTTGAAAAAAATCAAATCTGTGATGATTTTTTAGAAACGTGACTGTGCCAGCAGAAAATTAATGTATTTTTAAATAATTTATATAAATCGGGTATTCGCCCAAATATTTTATTTGATTTTTTAATTATTGATATAGTAAATTCAGTCAAAAATGATCACACTATTTTTTTCTCTATTTTTTTTTGAGCATTTTACACACAGAAACTCAAATACTAAATTTTCTCAAAAACAAGTTAAATAATCGAGACGTAGTTTGGTTTTCTAAATGATATTACACTCAACAATGTAAAAAAATCGCTAAAATGGGTCAAAAAGTACATTATTTTGTCTATTTCTAAGCGTTTTAGTATGTTTTTAGTCAAAAACAGAACTATTTTGCAATATTTCGTTAAAAACAAACCGAAAATTTATGAAATTAGGCCAAAACTATTGTTATTTTTTTTTTAGAGTGTTTTAGCATATTTTTGCTAAAACTGACTGAAAAATTGTGAAATTAGAGTGAAATTGATATAATTTCAGCGGGTCTCGCTGGATTTATTAGTTCGTTTTTGAACAAGATACCATGGGCGTCGTTACGAATTTTTTTTGAAAGGGGCAACCTCATCGCAGTTTAAAAATACATATTTTATTACAAATACAAAAACATGTTTATACAAAATAGGAACATAAAACCATATTTTTTTTAACGGAAATTATAAATGAAATCATAAGACAGGGATCTCTAAAACCATAAATTGGAGTATAAAAGTGTAAAAGTTAAAAAAATATAAAAAATAAAAAAATGTAAAAATTATAAAAGTTAAGCATAAAGTAACACAAATCAGTAAATAACATGAACTTATAAATACTAAGAAAAATGTAACACTTGGAAATCAAAACATACAATAAAAACTCTTTCAAAATAAAAAAATAAAAAAGTTAAAAAATATTATTTATGTAACAAGTTGCAAAATGAGCTTGCAAAAAAACAGTCATTTTTAATCGTGTTTTATACTTACAAGATTTTTGCCAAGTTGGTTGTGAAAAGCATAGGCATCAAATTCGAATTTAAAATCTGTGATTTCAATAATTTTTCAAAATCATACTAGGTTGTGGCGTTGCTTTTTTACAAATTTTAACATAGCGTTTCTAATACTTTTCTTGTTATAGTGTTTTTCAGTTTACAAAGTATAGTAGTCAATGTGGTTAAATCCTGTCGGATTTGATTAAGAGTTTTATTTTTATTTAGTAAAAAATAATGTTTAGGTCACTTCGAGTAGCTTCAGGTCGGTTCAGGTCACTTTAGGCCACTTTGGGTTACTTCGCATTACTTTGGCTTGGAGTAAAAAGAAAGTGTTAAATGTGAGAGATATCCAGACTTTTTTTCAAAAAATCGTGCTACAAAAGACAGTTGGGGGGGAGACTAAGAAAGTGTCAGATGTACTAGATTAAAAAAATTCTAGACTTGCAAAAAAACATTTCTTAAAGAAATGCTTAAATTAAAAAAAAAAAGTCAATCTAGACTTTTTTTCAAAAAATCGTGCTACAAAAGACAGTTTGGGAGACTAAGAAAGTGTCAGATGTACTGGATTAAAAAAATTCTAGACTTGCAAAAAAACATTTAAAAATTTCTTAAAGAAATGCTTAAATTAAAAAAAAAATGTCAATCCAGACTTTTCAAAACATCGTGCTACAAAAGACAGTTGGGGAGACTAAGAAAGTGTCAAATGTACCGGATTAAAAAAATTCTAGACTTGCAAAAAATTCTTGAAGAAATTGCGTAAATGAGTTTTTCTTCCCTGGAGGAGTCATTTCGGTCACGCTTTTTTGCATAACCGTCTGAGGTAATTGACATGACAAGACAAAAGAAAGTCCATTCGATACGGGTTTTATTTATAGACGGTGATTATTGCACTACCAACGATTGGTTTCGTTCAAATACGCATGTCTTTCCGGGGCACGACCTCTGATAATATAGTTTAATGGAAATTTATGTTAACTTTAGTAAAATAACACATTAGAACCAGTTTTTAAATGTCACAAGTCTGTCGATTTGCATAAAGTCGACTAGATAACATTATCCGCACCGTTGATTCCACCATCCATTACAGTTACGTTAGGTCCGGCCACAATCTAATGTCAATGGCAAATTCCTCAATATTGACTTGTGATGAACAATCAACAAGAAATTACCACCTAGAACTTTTAGGAAAATTACATTTTTCATGTTGTTTGTAACTAGAATTTTTGTTGACGGTTGACGTTTTCTGGCAACTATCAATTAAATTCTCCATTCAAGCTGACAGATTACTTAACCTAAACTTTGACACTACGATATCTTTTGTTTGTCACCAGAAACCAACTTAACCAAATTTTTGTCAACCTATTCACGAATGTCCCTAAATCCTAGGGAGTAATTTCTTGTTGACACGACAATACCTCTTGGCACTGCTCCAAACTCCAATTCCACACTATTATTATTATTATTACCAATGGCGGTTTTATTTCACTCAGGAAGCGGTTTCGACGATAAAAAAAAACACCGGATTAGTCAAGGGAAGAAGACCTTGAAACGATGAAACCTATTTAAATAATGCTTCCACACGTCCATTAAAATAACTCGACACAAACCAGTCTGATTACGCAGTGAGGAGAGCATCTGTCGACTCGGGATTATAATTATTTATTTACGTGTGTGCAGAGTTGAGCCAATTTTATGGTTGTTCGATCGGTTTTCCCCTTGTTTGAAGGCAATCGAGCTGTTGGCATTTCTTGTTATTAAAAATGGAAATAAAACTACCAAGCCGTTTGTGAAGCAAGCAAAAACTATACTAAATTGTTTTTTATTCTCACCTGAGGATGGTTGAATAAAAAGAAACAAAAATATTCTATTAATTAAATTATTTATTTATTCAAAATCAGTCTGTGGATATTTTAATGTTTTAATTAAATTGGTACAATTTTAAATTGAATATTTTTATCGTGATTTACGAATCGAATTTCTTAAAACTTCGAGAAATTGATATTTGACCCTACTAGAAAAAAAAAATTGTTACATTAATTTATGTTTCATAAAATACAATGACGGATTTCAGCATGTTATAAAATGCGCAAAAAATCAATCTATGCATATTTTAATGGAAGTAAATCTGGTACAACTTAAAATTGAATATTTTATCGTGATTTTTGGTGTAATTCATGACTTTTGAATCGAGCTTTTTAAAACATGGAAAAAAAACTATATTTGTCTTAGAAAAAAGAAAAAAAAAAAATTTTGTATTGCTTCATGAAACTCAATGGAGAATTTCATGAAAAAATTTCAGCGCAACAAAATCAATCTGTGTACATTTTAATGGAAGTACAATTGGTCCAATTTAAAATTTAATATTTTATCGTGAATTTTAGTGTAGTTTATGATTGAAGTAGCAATAAATCTGTGACACAAAAAAACGTCCTTCTAAATTCCGGGCCGGAAAAAACAAAATTACACGTTAATTTTTTTTTTTGGTTATAAAATTATCTTTTTTTGTTCAGTAAGGGTATTCAGGTTTATAAAGTAACAAAAAGTTGGGAACCTGAACCTGGAAAATTCTTAATACCTGTTAAAATAGCTAAAATACCGCGCCAGAACAAGGAAAAAATGTTTAAAAAATTCTTACTGTCAAAAAATTTTGACATTTATTTTTCACATTTCACATTCTTTATGTCTATTTAATGATACTGATGATTTTGTATAAGTTTTTTTACAATTATTTAGTAAAGGTACAAAAATTTTGCCAATAAAAGCAACAAATAACATTATTAGGATATAGCTTCCTTGTTTCGTCTTTTAATAGTTTGTAGAAAAAAAACTTGGATAATTATTTTTTCAACAGAAATAAATAGAGTCAAAGTGCAAAATTTAAACTCTCATTTCTTCTAAATTTTTATAGATAATTTTTTTTTAACTTTTTTCCATGTTCCTGGTATCTTACCTTATATGTCATTTTTCTCTGGGGCGCCAGTTTTGGCGCACCCTGTATAATAAATTTTGAAAATCACTAGCCTGTAATGTTTCAAACTCCGAATGCTATTTTAAAAATTAACAATGTTTTCCTTTGAAAATTTAATTAGTTATTTCTATGCATGTTGTTCAAACACCTATGAGCAAAAAAATATCTCAAATTATACAGGGTGTTTCCAGTTTTGAAGTTGAAAATTGGCCTGGTAATAGAAGAGTGCAGAAGTAGTGTAACCTAGGAAAAAAAACCAGAATTGATTTTATCAAGAATGTTATTTAATTCTAATATGTTGGTACAACGTTTGAGGGTCAGTGGGATCGTTTCTTTGTTAAGATAAAATTAAAAAAAAAAATGGAATTGCAACAAATAACAAAAGTATAGTGAAAGAAAAAAGTCAGTTCATAGTTTACATACTCATTATTTGATTTGCTTTTGCCAAAATTTGAAGATTTTCTGTTTAATCACTTCGAACGAAATGCTTTCCAATTTTTTTTCTTGATTTTTTGGACTTGAAACACACGTTAATGGCAGTAGTGGCTATTTTTGTGGCCAAAGCAGCAGTTCTCAAACAAATAACATATTTTTTTATATAGCGTATTAATTTTCTGTATTTGATTAAACAAAAGTGAAAGAAACACTTTTGGGGGTGTCGTTGAAACTTATTAATAAGTGCTTTTGTAGAAAAAATGTTATTTGTGTCTCTCGTTAGTAATCAACCCCTTGCAGCCTTGAAACTTGCGTGACCCTCGAGTACCCGGAATCGCTTTGAAATTTCCGCCGACATCAAAGGGCGACAGTGACGTGAGGGGCGGCTGCCGTCTGTGCCGCACAAACAATCTACGCGGTGGCGGCG